GAATAAATTTGCTAGATTATAAGTAAGTAATTGTATATGAGTATGATGAAAGAAAATATCCTTTTCGTAGTTGGTGAAGGCCTCGGTATCTTATTTCACTGTCATATATTCTACGTGGTGACAAGACTTTAATCAAGTAACAACAAGATTATATAGAATGCTATTAGTAAAGAATAATGTAGAAACTAATTTTTATTAGTAACAATATACGAATACAAATATGAGATTGAGCAGTTGACATCACGTGGGCTTGCTCTAGATTACCTCGCCTCATTCGTCTTGCTATTTTTCTTAATTAAACACGCTTTCCAGGCCACACACCACACACACACACACACACACACACACACACACACACACACACACACACACACACACACACACACACACACACACACACACACACACACACACACACACACACACACACACACACACACACACACGCACACACACACACACATTTATAACACATTTATAGCGAGCAAACATAAGTGGGGACGGCAAGATAGTGGGGGCCGAGTCCCTATCCAGCGGATTCTGAAGGCTGCTCGCGAGCAAGCTTTTGGCCGGGCCTGTGTAATCTCTTGTCCTAATTATAAGTCTTTATCACTTTGCTCTTCGTGATTACTTTTTTCGGTTTCAGTTTTCTCTTCAACTTTGTCTTTTGTTTCATCGTCGTCTTCGTCTTCGCATTATTTAAATTTTTAACTTTTACATCGGTTCTTAGATGGCGAATGCGCAAAAACAATTATAAAATTAAATAATTTAAAACTATTCCTATTAAGAAATTACTTATTGAAGCAACAATAATATGATAATTCACACGTTGTATTAAAAGCTAAAAAGTATTCCTTTCTAAGATATCTTGATGAATGCACGTATTAAAATGATGTTGGACATCGGAAAAAATTAAAAGCACACATGCGTGGTAAATAGATATCTTATAAGATATCTTTTTCTCTTTTGTTATGGAAAAAAATACCTGTTAAATTTTATTCGTTATTAAATCGATCGCTAAAGTATAAACACTTATGTATTATTATCTTACCATTAATTTTGTTGCATTGAGCATATTTCGATCTTACCGTTACGATTATTACTGATAATATTTTAAATTGTTTTGTTATACTCAATTGGCAAATGTGCGCTATAATATGCTAGAAAATGAGTTATTGAATATTTTATTAAGCAATTCTCCTACTTATTGTAGAATTATGGCCTAATTATCAATCAAGACTCGTACAATTTCAGTTTTTTGTGTGTTTCATTATCATGCTAGGCACTGTTTTGTTTCAGGTAAGACAGTTATATATGTATATTATTTAAAATTATTACCACATAAAATAAGCTAAGATATATCATCATGACAATCGTCTGCAACCAATAAATTAAAATTTTATAACAAATATTAAAAATCAACTACTATTATATAATAATGCAATTTATACTATTATTTTTTAAATAATTATTATTATTATATATATCTACACATAAATCAATATGTAATAATTTAAAACTTTAAGTATGTTAAGCATTAAATTAAAAAAAATCCAAATATTTTAATAAAATTAATAATTATAGTTTACCACGTTGTTGACATCAAGATGTACTCTCGATTTTGTCATTCACATTCTTTCTTCCATATCGTTTTGCTCTACTTTTTTAGCAATATACATCGCATTTGGTGTTAATGTTACAGCTGTAAGTAAACAATTGGAAATATACGTTCGAATATATAGCACATACATATGTGTGCACGCGCGCGTGAATGTGTGTGTGTTTATATGTGTTTACCCAATTTTCAGTAATGCACTTAAATATTATAAAATTAAATTTCTGAAATTTTCAATAAATTTTTGACAAATTTTCGATCAGTTTTTTCCACAGATGTTTAAGAAAAAAGTTTCAAATAAAAATGTTTTTACAATATTTAGGTGTCTATTTAAAATGGGTCATGTGTACATATAGTTTTCATTAAATTTTTTATTTTAAATTTTTTAAAATACATAAAAATATATGTTTCTGAATTTATATATAGCTAAAGGATTTACTGATAGAACTTTACAATGTATACAATCAATTATATGATGCAAATGAATACGCTATCGTAGAAAAATATAATTATAATGCAAAATGTTATACGATTGGACTTACAAGTAAGTAATATTTTTGAGTAATACAAATCAGTTTAATTTAGTTACAATAGATTATATGTATTTATCAATGTAGATATTAAAAAATTTAATAATTAAATCAAATTAATAATTAAATTAAAATAACGATAAAATTATATATGTATCTCGTATAATACAAAAAAATTTTCAAGCATTATTAAAAAAAGTTTAATAATAATTTTTTGGAAATATTTCTAGTATTTGGTGTTTGCGGTATAACTGCTATTATTGTCGGTCATTATTGGTCGTGTATTCTTGACATTGTTTTACCGATAAACGAATCTCAAACACATAGTATGCTAGTAACAATGGAATATTTCATCGATCAAGACAGATATTTCTTTTTAATTATGCTGCATATGAACTTAGCAGCTTGTTTAGCGACAATGTCAATGTTAGCTACAGGAACGACATTTATTGCGTATCTTGAACACACTTGTGAAATGTTTAGAATCGCAAAGTAAGAGTGAGCGTAGAAATAACGATCAAAATTTTAAATACCCGAGAAAAAATGGTATAATTAATCAGATATAAATATATATAATTAGTTACGAAAAGATCTAATAACATATGTAGTTTTATATGATCATATAAAATATTACATCTTATCAGATCTTTACATAACTAATTATACAGTAATGGGAGAAATAAAAAATAACTTCATTTTAGTGTTTTGAAAAACTCTTGACACCAGCTTTAAGAATATGTAATAGAAAATAGAAGTTTCCATTTAAGATTTCAAAGTTGACCTTCGCAGTGTCCTTCAAGGTCACATAAAGGTCATTTCAATATAACCATATAATAGATCATTTGATATACTAAAACTTTTGTATTGAACATTTTCTTCCATAATCATTATTTTCCAAGATATTTGACCGTTACGGAACTTTCTCCCATCACTGTATATATTTACATCTGACCATATTATACCATTTTTTCTCGGGTATAAAAAAGATTATGTTATTTTTTTCAACAAATAAAAATAATATTTATTTTATGATACAAGAATCGTGCTATTCAAGCATATTATTTACAGTTATCGCATTAAACGAGCTATAAGTATTGTCTTAAAAAATAATAATTTAGATGAGATGTTAATATTCAAAGGAATAATTTGCGCTGTGAACATTCATCAAAAAGCTATAAAGTTAGTAAATACTTGACAATATGCATATAGTTTACGTGCAATGAGATTTTCTTGTTTTTGCATAATCTCTACACAGTTACTGTCTAGATTTGAGTCCATGTTTTCCTGTTAAATAATACTCTGCGTGTGTTCTTTGAGTCTCAATTTGTTTCAAGTAAGTTTTGTATTTTATTCTTAAATGTTTGCTTTCCAAAAAATATTTGATATGATACGCGAGTTTCTGTTCCATTTGACAGTACATAAATTTAATGGTTCATAACAAAAACAACCCTTGTAAACTTTTTTTTTTTTAAGAGATAAAGAAAAAGCCCCGGTTAGCCACTCAGTTATCACGATATCAAACTGTCTAATTCACAATTCTTAATCACTGTGTTTAATGTGTAAATGTGATAGTGTATATGTATGTGTATGACCGCAGTGTGTGTGCTCAGGTCCGTGGGTTTGCCAAGCCCAAATGACTGTGCGATTCAGCCATCCTTGCGATATTATAAAAAATTGAGGATATTGAGATAATAGCGTATTCTAGTAGTCACAGGTGGAACCTACAGTACGGTTGCACCAATTCTCATAAAAACAACTAATGTCTTGATTTATGCTAAAAAGTTTGAGTAGTTCTGTTGAAAACTTAAGGATGACAGAATGTTTTTTTTCTTATTCTGAAAAAATGAAAAAATTGACAAGGATTGTTTCTGCTATGAACCGTTCAATTGTTCCAAAATTAGATAAATTGATAATTGATTATTCAATATGTACAAAGTGAATGAGCAAACTGGCGGCGGTTTTTATAAAATTCGAACTCTATTGCGTTCGTGATAGAAGACTTTTCGTTTATAACAAGATCGCTGCTTTACCGATCCTCCACCAGTCCTCGTAATTTTAGAACAATAGTTTTATGTTTTCTCTCATATATCTTTAGTCTCAGGTTTAAAAACAGTTGTTGTGTATTATTTATACAATGATATAACGCGGAAGATTAAGTACCACTAAATTTCCATCTTAGATTTTTCAGATTACATCTTCTATATTTAATATCACGAAAATAATATTACCTCTGATATTTATAACAGTTGATGTCGTATATATGTTTTTGGCCAATAATGTAAGGCAAAGAATTATGGATCATAACAATGAAGTATATGTTTCTTTGTAAGGACTTTACGAGATACAATCTTACAAAGATTGGTTTTATAGATTTTTAAATTAAAAGTAACGCCTTCTCTTTGCAAAACGGCGCAAACAAATATCATCTATAAAGCTTTCTATCTTTCATAGATTAACAATCTTTCGTTCACATAATTTTTTAGGTATAATGTTCAATGGTATTTAGCTCCTTTGCATATACAGAAAATATTATTATTTCTGTTACAAAGAGCAACCAAAGAATTTTCTTTAAATGTCACTGGTGGGTTATTTACTGCATCTTTTGATTGTTTCGCGACGGTAAGAAGATACAAAATTAATCTGCTAGATTATATGTGAATAATTGTATGAGTGTAATAAAAGAGAATATCCTTTTTTTGTAGTTGATGAAGACCTCGGTATCCTATTTTACCGTCATATATTCTACACGATAATAAAACAAGATTTTAATAAAGTAACAATAAGATTATAATGCTATAAGTAAAGAATAGTGCTATAGTAAACATATATTTAACGTTTAAAAAGTATCTAGCTAAGTGTTTTGCCAAAACAAAATATAAAAAATCAGTTAATTTATTTAATTAAAAAAGTTTATGTATATTTATTTTTTCACTTTAATTTTTTGAATAAATGACATATGTATTCAAATATTATTGCATTAATCTATATTTATTACGTAATAATATTACATACTGGATCAGCAGTTATAGTCAACATGTATTCATTGTGGAATTTCTTTTTTAAAGACTAAACGTATCTTATGAGTGTTCGTACTAAAATAATTTTGCAACAGTGTAAAAAAATGGGAAGCACTTATGTGGTGCTTGCGCAAATAATTTTTTTATCTATCTATTCAATTAGGAGAAGAAAACTTTGGTGGGTTTATTTTTGATAGACTATTTTAGATAGATCGTTGCAGAATACTTCTCTTAAAGACAAAATATATTATACGTATTCGTGCGTTGAAATAATGTTCTAGAAGTGAAAAAAATAAGTGCCTGCATGGCGTTTCAGCAAGTAGTCTTTTTTTTTTGTGAGAAAAAGACATCTGTTAAACTTTCTTGGGTGTCAAATCAATTACTTAATCGTAGACTTCTTCGAAAAAGCCCCTAAATTGCAAGTGTTCGGATCTCACGCTAGTATTATCTAACATTAGTTTTACTATAAAATTTACGCCAAGGGAAAGAATAATCAATCGATGAGTCATGAAGAGGGGATGAGCAAACTATTCCCAACTTCTTGGCAGTCATTGACGCTGCATCGAATAAGTCTCAATCACATACGCCACAAATAATTACGGAGTACTTTATCGATAAAGAACAATATTCCTATTTAATTATACTACACATGAATGTATCATTTTTCATAGCAGTAATCGCGATACTAGCGACAGGAAAAATGAATAATATGTATCTATTAGTTGCCTGCGGAATGTTTAAAATTGCTAGGTAAGACAAATATTATAATTATGAATTGTAAAAATATTGTACAAATCGTGAGAGAAAGAATTTGTTTCTTCATGCAAAATGTTTTGACCAAGCTTCTATTAATTAATTTTAGAATTTGCTTACTTCGCAACGTTCCTAAGTTAAATTAGATATATATGAGTAATAATACATATTAATTATTTTTAGTTACCGTATAAAGCAAGCCATGATGGAAAAAAATCTAAAAACCAGTAGGACGAAAAATATAAATATGATTTACACGGGGATAGTTGAGGCAGTGGATATGCATCGCAAGGCTATGCAGTTAGTATCAAATAATGCATGTATAATATAGTATACATAGAGTGTTGCATATAATATAAGAAATTATTTCAGAAATAAAATTTTTCTTAGAAATTTAGAATAAAATTCTTTGTTACATTAGTAAAAAGTGTTGAGTTAAAAACAAATTGTAAATCTTGAATTATATGCAATTCAAAATATATTTGCATTAAATTAATTTAATAATACTTTTGCATTAAATAAATTTTACTAAAACTTATTAGGTTTTACTCTCATGAACATAGTAAATACTAAAAATAAAAAAAATTGTAAAGAAAGATATTGTTACTCAAGTATAATTTAAGTGTTAATTAAAAGATTTCCATGTATTACGATACAATCTGAAATGTAATAATATTTTCCTTTTTTTGAAGGATTGTAACACTTTTAATGTCTACAATGAACCTATTTATGACTTTCTTAATTGGTGCTTTAGTAATATCCGTAAGCCTTAATCTTTTCAGAGTAAATTTCGTTTCTCATTATTAAATGTGTTTGTAAATTAATACGATAAAATTATATATTTCTATATTTATTAAATCATGTAGAAAGTTATTTTTATTAAAAGCTTTGATCAATTAAATTTTCCTAGCATCTTAAAACATTTTAAAAACATGATTAAAATCTGCGGAAAAGGTTGATCTTTTTGAAACTGGTATTTTAGATTTTTTAGGAGATAACAGCTGGGTTTGATATCAAGAAAATAATACTTCCCTGTCTGTTTTTAAACGCCATTTATATATACATGCTTTTTGCCAACGTTATAGCACAACAAATTATGGATCATAATAATGACATATTTGTTACTACGTAAGAAAGATTTTTATATTATACTTTGATATTAAAACTTTTCCAGTAAAAGACAAAGTTTTAATAAATACAAAATAATATTTATTTACAAAACAAGACCTAAAATATTTTAGAAAATATAGATAGATGTATGCACATTATTTACGAATCTTATACTCATAACATTAATAATTTGTTGTTTTATCGTTTATCGTTTCGTAGGTACAGCGTTCAATGGTATATAGCTCCCTTACGCATACAAAAACTGATACTTTTTCTGTTGCAAAGAGGAACAAAACAGTTTCATGTGGTTATTGCTGGACTATATGTAGGATGTTTAGAAGGTTTCGCAACGGTAAAAAGTATAAATTGTATAAAACAATATATTTAATTTAGAACACTTTAATTTTACTAGAAAAATGCCATTTATTGCAGCTGATGACCGCATCGGTATCTTACTTTACCTTCTTTTATTCTACAAGCCAATCACGTATCAATCTATAAATTGATATCATAAATATAAAGCAAACGAAACTTAATTTAAAAAGTTACGATATGTTACACCTTTAAATATAAAAAAAAACATGACTTCAATACAATTGTTTCAAAATGATCTTATTAATATGCAATTTTATAAATAAAAAATTATTCATATCCCTATAACTTTTGTCAATTCTTTTTCAATTTATACCGATTTTATGCTATCTCATAGTACATTTATATTATCAATCTTAAATTTTTATGTTTAATATTTTTATTAACAGGTAATATTCAAATACCTCATTTCATTGTTAATACTTTAATAAGATAAATATATTAATTAACATATTAATTACCTTTTTAAATTCAATCTTCCAAAAATATGCTGACACATTATTTTCAAATCACATAGTCTCTAAATTAACATAGTCTCTAAATAAACACTAAATTTTTAACTTTAATCATTGTAAATAATAAATGGTTTAAATGCTGAAACGTCAAAACTATTCACGTTCAAATAATAATATTACTTGCTGAACCAATAATAACATGATAGCTGGTATGCCGTATTTATGACTGCAGTATATTTCTTTCAAAGACCAACTGTATCTTATGCAATCGCGTAACGAAATAATATTTCCAGCTCAGAGGAAAAAAAAGCGTCTGCATTATATTTGTGCAAGTAGTTCTTTTTTTTTAAAAAGAAAAAAAGGAAAACATCTGTTAAAGTTCCGTCAACATTAAATCGATTATTTAATCGTAGACACTTCCGTGAAAGGTTCCTAAATTGCAAGATCCTAAGATGTTTTGATCTCACGCTAATATTCTTTAACATTAGTTTCGCAATACAATTTACGCAAGAAAAAATTTACAAGAAAAAAAATATTCAATCGATTAGTCAAGAAGAGGGGATAAGCAAACTATTCCTATTCCTTCGTGGCCATACGCGTTTTGACGTCCGAAGAGATGACTTGTTTAAAGAAACGATACTTAGATCTGAATCGTATTCTCTTGCTCGCGGTTGGTTTATGGCCATATCAACGATCCATATTTGTTCGGTTGCAATTGATTTTGTTCTATAGTATTGTGATCAGTTTTATTGTATTTCAGGTATGTTAATATTTTAAATATTATAATTTTCCTATATTTTATTAAACAAGTTAAAGGTTACTATTTCATTATTTATACAAATCTGACATAATTGAATTTAAATAAACAACTATATAGTACACACATATCTATAATCTTATTAGATACAAATTATACATATGCAACAATCATAGAATAAGCATTTTTTTTTACTGATAAAGTATGGATGTACGATAGTATTTTTTTAATGTAAATAATATAGCTATTTTTTGTAGTTTACAGCATTTATGACTTTAAAGTGTACTTTGCAAATTATTATCGAAGTTTGCTCTAACGCATTTTTCTTCATTATCTGCTTTTTAAAATACAATTCATTCTTTTTTAATATGGATATTGTAAGTAAAAAGATTTTCATTTATATACGATGTCAAATCTCACAAAAAGTAAAATGCGATAGAAAATCGAAAGAAATATAATCATTGAAACGATAGATAAAGCATTTCGTAGAATTACTTCAACATATTCATGATGAACTCAGAGATGAGGGCGAAGTCGCTATTGTAGAAAATTATTGGATTATCGCAAAACGCTGTAATGGCTTACTTATACGTAAGGCTGTCTCTATTAACTTTTTTTATTTGTAACACATATGCATAGTTTCTAATAACAAATGCATAAAGAATAATAAATACAAAATAAACGTATCTTAATAAATTGAGCTGCTACATCTGAATTTTCGGGTTCATAGTATATAGTTCCATTCTTAAATATTAGTATAAAAAAATTTTATATTTTACAATTATTAATAAGTAATGATTTCCATAACCCTTTCTAAATCGTTTTAGTGCTTGGCCTGTTATCCTGTTGCTATCCTTTATGCTTACCGCAGATACTCGATACTATATATTTTACGAACGAATCTAAATCATCACCTTCGCTATACATAATGACGGAGTACTTTATCGATAAAGAAAAATATTCCTTTTTAATTTTACTGCACTGGAACGTAGCATATTTTGTAGCACTAACTGCATTATTAGCACCGGGAACAATGAATATCATGTACTTTATGCATGTCTGCGGAATGTTTAAAATTGCTAGGTAAGAAAAATGTTATAATCATGAATTGTAAAAATTTAATTGCGAATTAAATTTGTTTCTTCACACAAAAATATATTAAAAAAATAAACTTATTAATCCATGTCAGAATGTGCTCAAATTTTCAAATTAATTCTTGAATTCTTTCTTGATTCTTTCATTCTTAAGTTAAATCACAAATACATAATAATAATATGTAAATTTTTTTAGTTATCGTATAGAGCAAGCTATGACGAAAATTAATCTAAAAACGAATAATGTGAAGAATATAAATATAGTTTACATGGGGATAGTTTATGCTGTGGATATGCATCGCAAAGCAATGTAGTTGGTATTGACTAATGCATGTACAATATACAGAATGTTTTTTTAATGTATATAACACATAAAGGCTCACTGCAAAAACAAATCTTTTTGTGGAAATTTAAAAGAAAATTTTTCTTAATAGAAACGTTGAGTTACTTCTAAACGCGATTCGATATACATAAACGAAATTAGATGGATTTTACTGAACTTTGATTCAAGATTTATTCACGAACATTAATTAATGTGCAAAATAAAAAAATTGAGAAGAAAGATGTTAGTCAAAAATAAATGTGCAGAAACTAATAAAAAAATTTATTTTGACGTATTACAGTATAATCTACCAAGTAATAATATTTTCTTGTTTTTGAAGTATGATACAACTTTTGGTGTCTGCATTTCATGTATTTATGATCTTCATATTCGGAATAGCAGTGCTATCTGCAAGCTTGTATCTCTTTCGAGTAAGCTTTATTTTCTAGTACTAAATTTGAAATGAATAAAATAAAGTTATACAATAAATTTTTATACTTATTAAAACATTTAAAACGTTATTTTATTATTAATTATAATAAATAAAATTTCTTTAAAGATTGTAAAACATATAGAATCACAATTATTGAAATTTATCTGCGAAAAGATTAATTGTCTTATAAGACATTTATGTTAGATTTTCCAGGAGATAACCTCCGGATGTGATGTCAAGAAATTGGTATCGCCCGTTTTGTTTTTATCTATCATGTATATGTATCTATCTCTGTGCTGCATTTTGTCACAACAAATTACGGATCATAATAAGGACTTATTTGTTACTGTGTAAGAAAAATTTTAATTATTAATTATCTATATTAATTGGAAAAATTTTTAATTAAAATTTTTCCAGTTAACAGCAATGTTAATGCAGATAAAATAATTTTATACAAAACAAGAACTAAAATACTTCGTAAAATATACGCAGATGTACTGTTATTTAAGAACCTTACGTATATAAAATTGTAGATTTCCTATTTATGTTTTGTCACATCGTAGGTACAGTGTTCAATGGTATAAGGCTCCTTTACATATACAAAGACTGATACTTTTTCTGCTGCAAAGAGGCACCAAACAATTTAACTTGATGCTTGCGGGATGCTTTGTGGGATGCTTAGAGGGTTTGGGAACGGTAAAAATTATACTATGCATCGTAATGTACAATATTTTGTGTAACGCACTACAATTTTACCAGACCAGATAATTTTATTTATTGCAGTTGATAACCGCATCGGTATCTTACTTTACCTTCATTTATTCTACAAACCGTATGTAAAAAATAAAACCATAAGTATAATAAATAACATTAATAAAAACACTGCAATATATCAGACGTTACAATAGATAAAACATAAAACTCCAAATCAAATGACGCAAATTAATTTCAATAATGTGCACACTAAATAATTAAAAAGTATTTACGATTCGGAAACTTTTGCCTATTTTTATTAACATATATTAGTGAAACGATGTAAGACTGTCATAGCTGTTCTATCGTATTTATAACTATTTCTCTTCAGAACGAAATATATCCTTTGCGTTCACGAAATGAAATAAACTCTAGAGCTGACAAAAGTGAGAAACGCATGCGCAGCATTTGTACAAGTAGTCGTCTTTTTTTCTTTCTTTTTTATGAGAAGAAGACATCTGTAAAATTTCTTTTCATATTAAATCGATTGCTTAATCGTATTGCTCTTCCATAAGAAATTTGCTAAATTGTGAGTGTCGGATCTCACGGCGGTATTTTCTAATATTAGTTTTATAATAAAATTTACGCCAAGGGAAAGAATATTCAATCGATGAGTGAAAAGGAGGGGATGAACGAACTATTCCCAATTTCTTAGTCATATGCGTTTGGACGTCCGAAGAGATGACTTATTTAGAGACTCAGTACTTCGGTCTCAATCGTATTCTCTTGCTTACACTTGGTATATGGCCATACAAAAAATCTACATTTGTTCGATTTAAACTGATTTTGCTTTATAGTATTTTGGCCAGTTTCATTATATTTCAGGTATGTTAATATTTTTAATAATTATCTAATATATTTCATTATTATATCATTCAAAAGCTACTATTTTTTTTTTACAAAAACCTGATATATTTCAATAAAACTATGTAACATTATGTATATTTATTGTAGTATAATCACTACAAAATATATATATAGGTCGTATATTCAACAATTATAGGATAAGCAACTAATACAAGCATCTTCGTTTCCTGATAAAATATGGACGCGCATTGTTTTTTTGTAACATAACGTAACATAATTATTTTCTGCAGTTCACAGCACTTGTGACTTCAAAATGCACTCCGCAAATCATCATCGAAGTTTTCTCTAGCGCATTCTTTTTTATTTCTTGTATAATAAAATACAGCGCATACTGTTTTAATTTGGATATTGTAAGTGGACAAATTTGTATTTGTTTAAATAAACACATTACATGTATTAGCCTGTGTTAAATCTTACAAAACAAATAAAAATATAAAATTATTGAAATAATAGATAAAGCATTTATTAGAAGTACTTGAAAAAATCTATGATGAACTCACAGACAAAAACGAAATTGCCATTTTAGAAAAGTATTGGATTATTTCAAGTCGTTTTACTGGTATACTCACACGTAAGGCAATCTTTTAATATTTTATGTTCCAAATGTATATAGTTTTTAATTCAAATTGCATAATAAGTACTAAAAAATTAAACATATTTTGATAATTTGTGGTTACATATATATGTAACCACACACACACACACACACATACACACATACATATACATGTATATATGTATATATTTATACGTATATTATAAATAAATTGGTTTTAGTGCTTGGTCTGTTAAGTTATTTGTCGCTTTCGTTTTTACCGATTATTTTTGACGCTGCATCGAATGAGTCTCAATCACATACGCCACAAATAATTACGGAGTACTTTATCGATAAAGAACAATATTCCTATTTAATTACACTGCACATGTATGTATCAGTTTTCATAGCAATAATCGCGATACTAGCGACAGGAACAATGAATAATATGTATCTATTAGTTGCCTGCGGAATGTTTAAAATTGCTAGGTAAGACAAATATTATAATTATGAATTGTAAAAATATTGTACAAATCGTGAGAGAAAGAATTTGTTTCTTCATGCAAAATGTTTTGACCAAGCTTCTATTAATTAATCTTAGAATTTGCTTACATCGCAACGTTCCTAAGTTAAATTAGATATATATGAGTAATAATACATATTAATTATTTTTAGTTACCGTATAAAGCAAGCCATGATGGAAAAAAATCTAAACACCAGTAGGACGAAAAATATAAATATGATTTACACGGGGATAGTTAAGGCAGTGGATATGCATCGCAAGGCTATGCAGTTAGTATCAAATAATGCATGTATAATATAGTATACATAGAGTGTTGCATATAATATAAGTAATTATTTCAGAAATAAAATTTTTCTTAGAAATTTAGAATAAAATTCTTTCTTACATTAGTAAAAATGTTGAGTTAAAAATAAATTGTGAATCTTGAATTATATGCAATTCAAAATATATTTGCATTAAATTAATTTAATAATACTTTTGCATTAAATAAATTTTACTAAAACTTATTACAGGTTTTACTCTCATGAACATAGTAAATACTAAAAATAAAAAAAATTGTAAAGAAAGATATTGTTACTCAAGTATAATTTAAGTGTTAATTAAAAGATTTCCATGTATTACAATACAATCTGAAATGTAATAATATTTTCCTTTTTTTGAAGGATTGTAACACTTTTAATGTCTACAATGAACCTATTTATGACTTTTTTAATTGGTTCTTTAATAATATCCGCAAGCCTTAATCTTTTCAGAGTAAGTTTCGTTTCTCATTATTAAATGTGTTTGTAAATTAATATGATAAAATTATATATTTTTATATTTATTAAATCATGTAGAAAGTTATTTTTATTAAAAGCTTTGATCAATTAAATTTTCCTAGCATCTCAAAACATTTTAAAAGCATGATTAAAATCTGCGGAAAAGGTTGATTTTTTTTAAACTGGTATTTTAGATTTTTCAAGAGATAACAGCTGGGTTTGATATCAAGAAAATAATACTTCCCTTTCTGCTTTTCAACGCCTTTTATATAATTATGCTTGTTGCCAACGTTTTAGCACAACAAATTATAGATCATAATAATGACATATTTGTTACTACGTAAGAAAGATTTTTATATTATACTTTGATATTAAAACTTTTCCAGTAAAAGACAAAGTTTTAATAAATACAAAATAATATTTATTTACAAAACAAGACCTAAAATATTTTAGAAAATATAGATAGATGTATGCACATTATTTGCGAATCTTATACTTATAACATTAATAATGTGTTGTTTTATCGTTTATCGTTTCGTAGGTACAGCGTTCAATGGTATATAGCTCCCTTACGCATACAAAAACTGATACTTTTCCTGCTGCAAAGAGGCACCAAACAATTTAACTTGATGCTTGCGGGATGCTTTGTGGGATGCTTAGAGGGTTTGGGAACGGTAAAAATTATACTATGCATCATAATGTACAATATTTTGTGTAACGCACTTCAATTTTACCAGACCAGATAATTTTATTTATTGCAGATGATAACCGCATCGGTATCTTACTTTACCTTCATTTATTCTACAAACCGTATAGTAAAAATAAAACCATAAGTATAATAAATAACATTAATAAAAACACTGCAATATATCAGACGTTACAATAAATAAAGCATAAAACTCCAAATCAATTGACGCAAATTAATTTCAATGATGTGCACACTAAATAATTAAAAAGTATTTACGATTCGGAAACTTTTGTCTATTTTTATTAACATATATTAGTGAAACAATGTGAGACTGTCATAGCTGTTCTATCGTATTTATAACTATTTCTCTTCAGAACGAAATATATCTTTCGCGTTCACGAAATGAAATAAACTCTAAAGCTGACAAAAGTGAGAAACGCATGCGCAGCATTTGTACAAGTAGTCGTCTTTTTTTCTTTCTTTTTTATGAGAAGAAGACATCTGTAAAACTTCTTTTCATATTAAATCGATTGCTTAATCGTATTGCTCTTCCATAAGTAATTTGCTAAATTGTGAGTGTCGGATCTCACGGCGGTATTTTCTAATATTAGTTTTATAATAAAATTTACGCCAAGGGAAAGAATATTCAATCAATGAGTGAAAAGGAGGGGATGAACGAACGATTCCCAATTTCTTAGTCATATGCGTTTGGACGTCCGAAGAGATGACTTATTTAGAGACTCAGTACTTCGGTTTCAATCGTATTCTCTTGCTCGCGCTTGGTTTATGGCCATATGAACAATCCATATTTGTTCGGTTGCAACTAATTTTACTCTATAGTATTCTCATCAGTTTTATTATATTTCAGGTATGTAAATATTTTAAATAATTTTCCTATATTTTATTTTATTATATAATTTAAATGTTACTATTTTATTATTTATGTAAATCTGATATAACTAAATTTAAATAAACAAGCTGTATAATATTATATATACTAATCACATTATATAGTAATCGTATATGTATATATCGCAACAATCATAGAATAAGTTTTTTTGTTTACTGATAAAGTATGGATGTATGATAGAGATTTTTTAATGTAATGTAACTATTTTCTGCAGTTTACAGCATTTGTGACTTTAAAGTGTTCTGTGCAAATCGTCATCGAAATTTGCTCTAACGCATTTTTCTTCATTATTTGCATATTAAAATATAATGCATTCTCTTTTAATTTGAACACTGTAAGTGAATAAATTTTTATTTGTGTATGTTAAATTTCATAGAAAGTAAAATGCGATAGAAAGTCAGAAGAAATATAACATTTGAAACGATAGGTGAAGCATTTGTTAGAATTACTTCAGCATATCCATGATGAACTTAGAGATAAGGACGAAGTAGCTATTATAGAAAATTATTGGATTATCGCAAACCGCGTTAACGGCATACTTGCACGTAAGGCTCTCTCTATTAACTTTTGTTATTTGTAACATATAAGCATAGTTTCTAATAACAAATGCATAATAAATACAAAATAAACGTATCTTAATAAATTGAGCTGCTACATCTGAATTTTCAGGTTCATAATAGTTCCATTCTTAAATGTATTCTACAAAAAAAGTTTTATTTTAAAATATCAATAAGTAATAATTTTCATGATTGTTTTTAAATCGTTTTAGTGCTTGGCCTGTTAGCCTGTAGCTCTCCTTTGTGTTTGCCGTATATCGTCGACACTATATATTTTACGAACGAATCTCAATCATCACCGTCGCTGCACATAACTACGGAGTACTTTATCGATAAAGAAAGATATTCCTTTTTCATTAGGCTGCACTCGAACGCAGCAATTTTCATATCACTAACTGCATTAATAGCGCCGGGAACAATGAATATCATGTACTTTATACATGTCTGCGGAATGTTTAAAATTGCTAGGTAAGAAAAATGTTATAATCACGAATTGTAAAAATTATTTTAAATTGAATTTTAATCGAATTTTAATTTTAATTGAATTGAAATTTAATCAAATTAAATTTGTTTTTTTCATACAAAAATATTTTGAAAAAAAAAAACATTAATCCATGGCAGAATTTACTCACTTTCTAATTTTTAAAAATTAAATTCTTTCATTCTTAAGTTAAATCACATATATATAATAATTGTATATAAATTTTATTTAGTTACCGTATAGAGCAAGCCATGGCGAAAGTTAATCTAGAAACGAATAAAACAAAAGGCAGAAATATGGTTCACATAGGAATAATTTATGCTGTGGATATGCATCGCAAGGCAATGCAGTTGGTATTGAATAATGCATGTACAATATATTTACAGAATGTTTTTTTATGTATACAACATAAAGGCTCACTGCAAAAACAAACCTTTTTTGAAAATTTAGAAGATAATTTGTCTTAATAGAAATATTGAGTTAGTTCTGAGCGCGATTCGATATACGTAACTTTAAACGAAATTAAATGGATTTTACTGAACATAGATACAAAATTTATCCACAAACATAATTAATGTGGAAAATAAAAAAGTTGTGAAGAAAGATGTTGTCAGTTAAACACGAATGTTGCAGCTATTTAATAAAAAGAATTTATTTTGACGTATTACAATATAATCTGCCAAGTAATAATATTTTCTTATTTTTTGAAGCATGATACAACTTTTAATGTCTGCACTTAACATGTCTATATTCATCTTCTTCATGACGGCAGTGATATCCGCAAGCCTGAATCTCTTTCGTGTAAGCTTTATTTTCTATTACTAAATTTGATATCAAATGAATACAGTAAAGTTATACTACAGTTATAATAAATTTTTGTACTCATTGAAACATTCAAGATGTACGCAGATGTACGTCATTTATTATTATTTATAATAAATAAAAATTTTCTAAAGATTGTAAAACATATAGAATCAGGATTACTGAAATAAATCTGCGAAAAAATTAATTATTTTTTAAAACATGTATGTCAGATTTTCCAAGAGATAACCTCCGGATGTAATATCAAGAAATTAATATTGCCCTCTTTGTTTTTAACTGTCATCTATGTGTATCTATTATTGGCCAACATTATGGCGCAACAAATTACGGATCATAATAATGACGTATTTGTTACAGCGTAAGAAAAATTTTTACGTAAAATATTAATTATTAAAATTTTTTCCAGTAAAAGGCAATGCTAATGCAGATACAATAATTTTATACAAAACAAGAACTAAAATATTTCGTAAAATATACGCAGATGTACGTTATTTAAGAATGTTACGTATATAAAATTCTAGATTTGCTATTTATCCTTTGTTACATCGTAGGTACAGCGTTCAATGGTATGAGGCTCCTGTACATATACAAAAATTGATACTTTTCTTGCTTCAAAGAGGCACCAAACACTATTACGTGATCCTTGGTGGATTGTTTGTAGCATGCCTAGAGGGTTTTGGAACGGTAAAAATTATATCATGTATCACAATGCCTTTTATGTAACGCACTTTAATTCCAGAAAAATGTTATTTATTGCAGTTGATAACCTCATCAGTATCTTACTTTACCTTCATTTACTCTACAAACCGTATATAAAAAATAAAAAGAAGAATGAACAAAATAAAAGAAAATTAATAAAAAAGAATTGCGATATATCACACGTTTCAATAAATAAAATATAACTTTATATCAATTGACTCAAATTGATGTCAATAATGTGCACTCTAAAAAATCGGAAATTATTTATGCCCCAAAAACTTCTATCTATTTTTATTAACATTAGTAAAACGCTGTCGCAAGGTCATAGCTGTGCTATCGTGTCTACAACTCAGAATTCTCTCCAAAACGAAATGTATCTTTTGCGTTCACGCATTGAAATGAGTTCTAGAAATGAAAAAAATGAAAAACGCATGCGTGGTGTTTGTGTAATGCAGCGCTCGGAATTAGTTGCACATTTCGGGGCCGATTTCCGAGACGACGCCTCCTCGTTCCCCCACTACCGCTCGGCCGCTGGCGGCCGAACGGTAGTGGGGGAGCAGGAGGCGTTGTCTCGGAAATCGGCCCGAAATGTGCAACTAATTCCGAGCGCTGGTGTAATGCAAGTAATCATCTTTCTTTTGTATAAGAAGAAAACATCTATCAAATTTCTTTTCATGTAAAAATTGTTTAATCATATTATTTTTCCATAAGAAATTTGCTAAATTGAGAGTGTCGGATCTCACGGTGATATTTTCTAATATTTGTTTTATAATGACTAGAACAATACAGGCACGCGCTATGCGTATGCACTTATTATAATAATTTAATAACC